TCACAGCTCCACACACCGTTCACTGACACACTGACACAGGTACACCTGGATTCACAGCTCCACACACCGTTCACTGACACAGACAGGTACACCTGGATTCACAGCTCCACACACCGTTCACTGACACAGACAGGTACACCTGGATTCACAGCTCCAGACACCGTTCACTGACACAGACAGGTACACCTGGATTCACAGCTCCACACACCGTTCACTGACACACTGACACAGACAGGTACACTTGGATTCACAGCTCCACACACCGTTCACTGACACACTGACACAGACAGGTACACCTGGATTCACAGCTCCACACACCGTTCACTGACACACTGACACAGACAGGTACACCTGGATTCACAGCTCCACACACCGTTCACTGACACACTGACACAGACAGGTACACCTGGATTCACAGCTCCACACACCGTTCACTGACACAGACAGGTACACCTGGATTCACAGCTCCACACACCGTTCACTGACACAGACAGGTACACCTGGATTCACAGCTCCACACACCGTTCACTGACACAGACAGGTACACCTGGATTCACAGCTCCACACACCGTTCACTGACACAGGCAGGTACACCTGGATTCACAGCTCCACACACCGTTCACTGACACAGACAGGTACACCTGGATTCACAGCTCCACACACCGTTCACTGACACAGACAGGTACACCTGGATTCACAGCTCCACACACCGTTCACTGACACAACCCCGCACACGTAAAAAGACAGCGGAAGCTAATTTTATTTTCTTCAAATAATTTATGTGATAAAAAAAATACAAGGTCTGCGGCAACCATGACATGTATAAAAAAATTGGGGTGGTGGCGGTGGGGAGCAAAAGGAAGACAGGAGAGCATTGTAATCAAGGGTGTTGTTTTTTCTCTCCCTTGCGAGTAATTTTTTTTTAAATATAAAAAAAAAATGGCCTGACACTTCCTCTATACAACACGCACACGACGTATCTCTAAACTGAAAGCGAGTACTGTAAGACTAACGAATAACGCGCTTTTTTTTAAATAACTCGTACTTAATGTTTATGTTCGGTACTGTTGGCTTGGCAGCAAGCCACTTGAGATCAAATTAATAGCATCGCACGAAAAGAAACTAACCCTACACCTACAATGCGTTTCCACCCTTGTCAAACTAGATGGAACAGTGGTAAATATTTAAATAGTCGAGGATCTTCATTTGACCCACTGTACTTGATTGGGATTATTTATTCGTTTTGGCTAGCGTCACGAAATTGTGAAAGTGGTGAACTGTACAAAACGAGTGAAAGCTCATTTTGTTAAAATTCTGTAATTTCTTAACATGGAAGATACGACAATCTTTTTATACTGACACACGCAATTGCCTAACAGAGCCGAAGTAGGCCAGTGGACATTAAAAGGGGGGGGGGCAATGACCCCCCCCCCCCGAATCATCAGTTTCAGACATCTCTTCTACAATTACCCCCCCCCCCCCCCAACGATCTGAAAGAAACACTGCCGTATCATACGCTGGTTTTTACTGTAGTTTTAACGGCAGATATATCTATTAAAAGTAGGTGGAAACAGTGTTTCTTCCAGACTATTTTCTTTTTTCTCCGGGGGTGCACTTGAAATTTTCGGGGGGGGGGGGGGAGGGGGCGGACACTGTCAAAAGTATATATTTTCTATATAAATTCCATTTCGGTCGAGGGGGGGGGGGCGGTAGAGTTTCTTCGGGGGTGGGGCGGTGCCTTCCAACTAAAAGTAACTGGAAAACTTAAAAATACTTAATCTTATCTTGCTCGATTAAATCAAAAAGACACAATTTACTTGAAATCTTTCCATTTTTTAACTAGAACTACTAGTATTTTTTAAAAACTTTAAACAGAAGCTTGTTAAGTCTCGAATAATTTTGTTTTACAAGAAATTGGCTGGATCACACTCCTCTTTCCAATACTAATAATTTAAAGAAATAATTTTCAAAGAGGGGTGTGGGGAAATTGCGAGACGCGAAAAGCGAAATGGCGAGGCGGGAAAATGCGAGAAGGTAATGCGAGACATACCTGCGGAATTAAGGGTAAATAGCGAGACACTTTTTGCGAAAAATGTTTTTTCCTTTTTATTCCATCTTTATTTATTTCAATTATTTTTAAAAATATTTTAAAAATAAACAAGCATTTAGCCATACCCTTTAACACGAGTGTTGTATGTTGTTATTTTTTATCTAGATACTAAGAAGATAGATAGATCTATATCTAGATCTATCTATTTAAAAATCCTAACATCGTTGCTGTGCTACTGTCATCGCCCGCTCTTGTTAGCGAGAGGAAAATCCCGTCTCAGTCGGCATTAATTTAAAAATCTAGCCCGCTCATGTTTATACAAACGTGAGCTGTGTCATTGTGAATTGGTATAATCTTGTCAGCAGGAGAGATATTTTGCAACATCTATTTATGGATTTTTGTACTTGCAAAAAGTGTAAAAGTATAAACAATTCTAAAAAGTGCAATTTATTTTTTTATTAAGTAATTTTAATTACAAACAAAATTTACAAACAAAATCTTCTGAAACAGTCCTCAAACACACCTCGTGACACCATCTTTCACACATAGTACACCCAACCCAGTTCATTAGACTCCCATTTATACATTTTTCTTTTGCTACTTCTTCCAATCCACATTCACAACATTTCACATTCTCATCACAGTTGACCTCCTTGTTCATCCCACAAACAACACTGGCACCCGCACGCTCAACATCTGTTTTCCGTTTTTTATAATTTGTATTTTTTATCATTTCTGTAATTTTGGCAATGTCTTGCTCATTGTTGTCACCAGCAGTTGAGTTTTTTTAAAACATCGATATTTTCCCAAAATCTTGTCTAATTTCGGTCAAAATTGAGTATTTTAATCAATTCCTATTACAATGTATTAAAACAGTTTTCTAAAACGAGAAAAAACGTCTAAAATTATTTTTCTAACATTGCTTTTTTATAGTGTGACTTCACATCTACCCCCCCCCCCCTCCTCCCCCTCATCACACATCGTCATAAAATTACAGACCCCCCCCCTTACGAGTGTGACGTCATTTATGGAAGACCCCAAATAACACCACCACCAAAACCAAAAAATTCAGATAAGTTCAACTTGGTTTTAAAAATATTTGAAGTAGGCCCATAGCTTATGATATAGCACGAGCAACTGATAATATCGGTGACGTCACTTTATTTTGTTGTATCCAAATGATGTAGGCATTTCCTTGTGCTTAGATTTATATGGTAAAAAAAGCTAGAAAAAAATCGTAGGCGGCGGCTATAATACAAAATTTCTATGCAACAATAGAAAATATGTTTGCGGCGGCAGCGGATCCGGGCACGGCGATCTTCAAAGACGGTAAATCAGGCGGCCTCGGCGTTCCACACAAAAGACAGAAGTTGATCTATCGTCGGCGGTATTTCCGTCGGTTTCGAACAAGGTGGTATTCTAAGTCGACACAAAAGATGGGGGGAGTTGACAAATCATCAGTATGTCTAGCGACGGAAAAATCGGAAGTTTTAACAATGTAAACGAAACGTCTTTGAAGTCTGGACCAAATACCACTGAAAATCGGGTGCGGTAAATTTTTCGCAGAAATCTTCGCATTTCAACACCACCCAGCGTAAGTATCTGCTTGTGGTAAAATGCGAGACAAAAAAGTCACGTGACCGACCGTTTTCGCGCCCTTCTCGCATTTTCCCGCCTCGCCATTTCGCTTTTCGCGTCTCGCAATTTCCCCACACCCTTCAAAGAGAGAGTGGTTTCAAGGGCTAGATTTATTTGCTTAAACAGCTCGGGAGATTTGGGATCTCGGGGGCCCATGGACTTTGTCCAGCTTGGTTACACGGTTGTTACGCCACTGGACACACGATTATTCCCTCCCATCTGGATACGAGGTCTACATCTAGATACATTTTGTACGGCTCACGGGCGATATAGATCTACATTTATTTGCGAGTTTATACTACTTAGTGAACGTTAATTACCTATAGACTACATATAGACTTTCAAGCAAAAGGACAACACATTTGGTGAATTTAATTCCTCATATAAGCACGTACCACCATTCCTATGCAAATGACTAAAAAGGCTAAACAATTGGAAAAGCTAAAGAGACATGCAGAAATAACGTTCTTTTTTTTTTATCCGCCCTCTCCCCTTTTTTCTCTCCCCACAGCCACAAAGACATTCTTCCCCTTAAATGACGTCACACTTCACGCACACCCCCCTCCCCCCCAAGCAATAATTTTTTTATTGAAATAGGAATTCATTACCAAAATAGTGTCGTTTCCATTTAACAACAAGGAATAGCCAATAGGGCCTAATTAAAAATACATTCTATTGCTAACGATATGATGGCTATGTTACTTTTTATCGCTGATCATTAAGCCAATTTACATTTTTAATAAAAGTAAAAATCCAGGTCTAAATTAGGTATATTTTAATTTAACACTTAAAAAAATACAACGCTATTTTTTTTAAACGAAAGTTTGACGTCAGATTTTCTTAACCCCATAAATGACGTCACGTTTGCAATGACAGGGAGAGGGGAGGGGATGAAGATTTAGGTGTAAGAGGGACAGGGGAGCTATAAAATGTAACAAAGCATACATTTAGTTGTTTTTTTAGCAGTTTTTATATTATTTTATTGTCAGAAGTAAAAACAATGTTGATGTTATTTTTAGTGACGTCGCATTCCATATGGGTGGGGTAGAATTAAATGATCTTAAATAAGATCGTGTCTTAAGTCAACTTTAACAAGCTAAGCCAATTTGATTAGCTAAGACACATTGATAAGCTATGACAGCTTAACATAGTGGACTATTTGACAAACTATGACAGGACATTAGACAAGACTACAACTTGCCAAGCTAAGACAATCACAAGACAGTCAAAGACGTGCTTATTTGGCAAACTAAGACAGAATATTTAAATTATTAAAACAACACATATTACATTAAAAGTAACAAATCCTTACCTTAATAAATCCTGGTTCTCTTTCTGGCGAATCTGCTGTGCTAGAAAGTCTATCCTTATTCCATACAGCAGGCATCGACGCAGCATTGCCAGTATCTCCAATGGGCAGAAAGTCTGGAACCAAGTTTGCCGATGATTTAGAATTAAGCATTGCCTCATCTGAAGTAATACTGTACTTTCGAACAACATCTTTGTCTCTTAATGGAGTTCCTACAGGCTTTCTGCTCTGTAAAACACTAGCGGAACTAGCACTGCGGAAAATGTTAGGCTTCCTTCCTGGGCCTGAAGTTAGAGGCACACTCAGGAGGTTGGAAGGGCATTCTAGTGTGTAGCTGGGCGAGGGCGAAGGACCGTGTGGGGTCACTGGCGCAGACACCGCCGGTGAAATAGAAAATTTGGATGTGCTATGAGCCACTTCACAGTCTGTGGTGGTGTCTGATGTTTTGAAATCACCACTGCCACCTTCATCGTCCTCCCCGGCTGAACTGTGGTAATCCAGAACCTCCTCTCCCATGTTGGAAGGCGTTGAAAGAATAATTTCTGATTGAGATTTCTGTTTGCTGTCAGCGTCTCCTAAGATCAATGTTTTATCTATTCCTAATGCTTCCAAGTCTTCTTTAGAGAGCAAAGGAGCACTTCGAAACTGTGGAGTTTCTATATTTAAAGGAAAGTCAAGGTTATCACGAGCTCGATCTCCGCTGGGATCACTTTTGGATTTCTGTTTGGTAGACTTACCATTTTTGCGATCAGAAACATCAGTGCTGTCTGCTGCAATGGTTTCTGCTACATCCTGAAAATTATCATCAGACATCTCGCCAGCAGACTCCGTTGCAGAAATATGGCTGCTCTGTTTTTGCTCCTCTTCCATTTCTGCACTGGATTTCCCTGCTGTGAATCCATTAGTGTCCATACACTGACTGTCCTTCTGTGGTGTTTTACAGCGAGGCGGATGCGTTACAACCCGAGGCGATTTTAGTTGTGCGCTTGACTTGCCAGAGCCACTTCGACGCTGAATTCTTTGGTGAGGCTGGTCTTCTGGGAAGTGAGGCTCAGGGGATTTAGACTCCTCACCCCCGGCTTTACCAACAGAGCCCATTTTAGGTCGAGGTGAGAGCATTGCAATGCCAGATCTTCTTTCTGATGGGTAACGTTTTGGAGGCTTGGTAGCAGCGAGCTGTAAGAATTTTGAGTTGCGTGGAATAGGATGATAAATGTAAGTACTGATGACTGGGGCCGAATGGTCACCGCTGTCGCAGGCTCCCTCGTCTTCTGGAAGTTTATCCTGAAGCTCTTTGACCTTGCTGAAGTCTTCCTGAGACCTCGTGCTCTCTCCGCCATCACTGTCTGGGGACTTCTCCCATGTCCTCTGGTAGTCACCCTCAGGGCTCTTCTCATGCACAACATGCGAGTCTTCTGGAACACTTTCTGGCGCTGATCGAAAGCTTTCATCAGAGGAAGCGGCTAGAGGGGACTTTGTCCCTTCTAACTCTTCTTGCTCTACATCCTCAGGAGATTCAGGAATTTGTTCGTACGTTCTTTCCACTGAACGTCTCTCTGGACTTCTTCTGGGGCTCCCACCCGGCTCAAAACTTGATCCAGGAACATTAGGAAGAGCAGTACTCTGTTCATTTGGCTTTACCGGGGATTGCAGCTCGATTGTTCGTGAAACAACTACTGTTTCAGACGGCTTTGATTCTTCTGAAACAGTCTGTTTGGAATTTTTATTTTTTAAGCGGTCAGTGAGTAGCTTTAAGCTTCTACTCCTGTCGCGTGATAAACTCCTAGACTCTTCTGACACTGGAGATCCAATCCGAGGGGAAGCATTTGGGGATGTGTTGGTTGATAAAGACTTGCCTTTAGGTAGTGGAGCTGTTCGGGATCGACTGAATGTTTTCCAGTCCGTCTTTTTCAAATTCATGATATCTTCCATGATAGCTTTGATTTCCCCACGACCAGGGTCGGTTTTTGAACGAGGACTAATTGATCGACTACCTGATCCAGCAAAATGAGGCAATTTTGGCCTGCTTACTTTTGGTGAAGAAACTGATTTCTGTAATAATTTGTCTTCATCTCCTTCCATGATTTCAGCTTCTTGTTTTCATGGATGTTGGGAAAAAAATTCTGAAACTTTCACCTCTTGATTTTTTTCATGTACATAAAACTATATCTCACACACAAAGCTAAATTTTAAAAAAACTTTCTTAAATAGAAGAAGTGTGTCTATCCTATTTCTAAAAGAAGTCCAATTCTTTCATCCATTTTTTTTTGTTTTTCATTCCATTTGTACCTGTTGATGATATTCATAACTATGTTAGCCCAAATGATTAATACAGATGGTTATGTGTAAAGAATATTAACAAAAACATGTGCATTTATGAGGGGTGACTCATTATAATGAATGACATATTTTTGCTTAAAGCAGGACTAGTTAAAGGAAGGCACTGATCAATGATTCAGAAAAAACATTTTGTGAATCAGATTTATCAGAAAAATGAAGGATATCATTAAATAAAGTAGAATTATACTGTATTAGTCAGGGTAAAGCTAAACAATAAGCATCAATAATAACAGTAAAAAAGGAATAACTGATGACTTGCACTCTATGACTCATAGTTGTAGAACCCTCTCATAGACTGTTTATAAATAAGATTCTTTTTAATCCATAAAGCAACATTTTTTATTGATTGAATACACAAATTGTCTTATAACAAACCTAATTTCATGGTCATGTTTGTATAATAAACAAGCAGTTAATTTTTTTTTTAAATTCTTTGTTTTCAACATTGTAATAGACTCAAACTAAAGTAGGGGCCAGTGTGGTTGGGCAGATAAAGTTTATGGTTGAAGTCATGAGTTCAAACCCACGGGCAGATTTTTTTTCTTCTTCATTCTTAATTGTAATGCTGGAAGGGTATCCCTCTAACACAAGTATTACCAGAGGCGTAGCTATGGGGGGGGGGGGGTGTTACATATGTCGTCTGGCGCCGACACTAAGGGAGGCACCAAAATGGGTTGAAAAAAAAAGTAAAAGCTGATTTTAGCTGCAGTTTTGAATTATAAATATGAAAAATATATATATGGGGGGGGGGGGGGGGGGGGGGCAAATTCAAAGTTTGTCCCCAGGCGCCGGGAGGGCTTGCTATGCCTCTGAGTATTACGTGTCAACTAGACAGTGATTTTCTTTTTGGATTTGCTCCATAGCCTTTGTCCAACCAAGACCACCATACATATATACGGAACAACTTTTACCTTATAGATTACATAGTGTTTCAGATTTTAAATAAATAATAATAAAGTGCGATAATTCAATAAACTAATTTATAGAATTTGTTTAAATCAATTATGATTTGTTAGAAAAGCCCCAATTATTTCCTCTAAAAAAATATTACAGGGCATCTTTTGTGAGAAAAAAGGGTTTTTTTTGCACTTCACCCCCATAGTTGATGGTAAGTACAGCTAAAAACAATAGTCTTCATGTACTTCAACCCTCATTTCTACAAATATAGCAGGTTTCCCAATTAACGTATTATTAATAAAATAATGGCTGATAAGAATCACTGGTTAGTATTAAACTGTGAATGGTGGATTTCTGTTGTTGGCCTTTGCTCCATAGGGACCATCCATATATAACATCATGCTTTTTTTTGACAATTTTGACCTCCCCCTCCCTTCTGTCACACATTGTCACAAAAAGCCAGACCCCCCCCCCCCCCCATTAAAATTACATCACACGTCAGCCTACAACCCCCCTCAAAAGTGCAGTTGAATTTTTCTTAAAATACGATATTTTTCAAAAAACCTTGTCTGAACCCTGTCAACATGGAGTATTTTAATCAATTCCTATTACAATTTATTAAAACAGTTTTCTAAAATGCAAAATAACGGCTAAAATTCGTTTTCTAATTACTTTTTAGCGCAATTTCCATACGGACAATTGCGATAATTTATAATGCAAAAGTGTGACATCACACCAACTGAACCTCCCCACACACCATAACAAAGTTACGGACACACTTCCTCCCTATGAGTGTGATGTCATTTATGGACAACCCCATACAGAGAAATACAGAATATTCTTAAAATATGATAACTGATAATACCTGCTCAACAATTAACATAATGCAATATTTATTAAAATATTTATTAAAATTACAGACATGTTAAATAACGTAAACACTGACAATTTTGCCAATGCCAAAAAATTTCAGTAATTTGTTCATTTCAACTCTCCACTTCCTTACATAAAAAATTAATAAAATAAAACATCCCTTACTAGACCTTCTGTAGCTCAGTGGCTTTTGCAGGAAATTGACATGTGGAAAGGGGTGGTAAAATTCAGGTTATATATATGTCGATTTCAAAAGGGTACTTTACTTTTTATATATTTTCCTATAAAAAAAGTGTTACTAGGTATATAATATCAGACGACTGCAGAATGATTTACATAAACTTACAGTGTCCTAACAATATATAGATATGATACAGTATAACTGATATGCATGATTATTTTTTATCATTAATTGATTAGTTGGAAGACTGTCAACTGTATATTAAAAATGATTAGGCCTAATTTATAATTCGTATGTATTAAGTATTAATTCTATGTACATTTAAAAAAAGATAAATATTGAATAATGTGAGATATTAATTATTATTAACACTAAAAATTAAAGTAGATTATAACTATACCATTAGAGATTAGATCTTTAAACTATTCCCTATTTATGAGCCAATATTTTCATCAACAACAACAATCACAATGTATAGGGCCTATAATATCACAATCTATATGAAATAAAATGCCTTGCCTAGGCATTCCTAATAAAGTTTAGTTAGGCCTAACTAATAAATTATCTTTTTACTGTTTTAATGTTGTCTTACATTGTTAAAAATACTGATGCTAAATCAGATGTGTTAATCTATATTATTTTAATGTTTTAATTAATTTGGTTTCAAATATATTTGGCTTGTATTGTGTTGGGATCTAAGTTTTTGCTAGGCTGGACTTAATTTCTGTTTGAGAAAGTTTCGCCAAAATAAATTCATATTCGTTTTCTAAATCTTAAAATAAATGACAAAAACAACTAACAATATCATCGTTAAAAAATCAAATTGAAGAGTGAGCATGCAACTCTATCTTGTATTGCTCTGTATTTAAAAAAAAAAATCTAACTGCACATCAATAATAAGCAGCAACAAAAAAGGAAGTGTGCAAGAAATTCTAAAGTTAGGCTAGCCATCCATGATAACAACAGTCGAATAAAATTCATTGATTATAAAGTTTACAAAACTTTTCTTTATGCCTGTTAGGACATTAAAAGTTAGTTAACAAATGCTCTTCGAATAAAAATGCAAAACAAAGAATATATCTAATAAACGACTGAAAATAACAACATGTAAACTTAGTAAAAACAATATTCCTATTTTCTTTGCTCTATTTGCTAACCGAACTCACCTCTAAGTATAATATTCCCACTCCGCCATGTTGAAATTAGCTGCCCTCGCACTGGATTCAGCGAATGGCGCCGCTGCGATCGTTGGCTGTCTGCAACAGCAAGCAACAGCGGTTCTGGTTTGGGATCACAAAACTAAACACAATACTTATCACCTGTCACACGGCTTCTCAGGCTCTCACCTTTCCCAGTGACGACTTGGAGGCTGACATCAAAGGGGGCCGCGAGGGACGTAACTCGGCGACATGGTCAAAGTCATTATTAGCCTCTTTTTCCAGTGTAATTCTGTTTGGCAGCTAGTCACACCTTGAAACCTAACATTCTTCAAGATGGGTCAACGCCAGGATCTATTTTTGGCAGAAATTCCACGGATGGCTTAGGTAGAGTGGGGAAGAAGAAGGCGCACGAGCAACGAGCACAACAAGTAAAGGGGTGCACGTTCTGGCATCGGCCAGCCAATCGCACCAGCCGTCTTAGCTCGCGCTTCTCCGCTTATCTTGTCCCTTCGCCAATAAAACTATCTAGATTTCCGCCTTGCCCAACAAAAATATTTTTTCCTAACTTATATCCTCTCCTATACGTCTTGTGATAAGTTTTTTTTTTTTTAAATAGACATCTTGCGCCGTGTTATATTTGGAAAAAAACAAAATAATCCCAAAATAGCTCAATGTGAAACAATTATAAATTTATTCAAATTCTAAATGTATATCCGTACCCCTAAACCACTCCGCCTAGGCTACAGGTGTGAAAGGAATTTGGGGATGTAAAGGTTGGCATTGGCAATAACTTTAGATGAGCAAGGAAGGGTTAATTTAGAGGGCACGTGCACGCTCTATTCATGAATGAATCCTGTAAGAACTTATCAATGAAACAGAATGCATAGGAGGCGTTTGTGTGCGCTGGGTAGCTTTCGGCTTTTAATTTTTGTTAAAGTTGCACCGCGTCGTTTTAGAAATTATTATATTTACTTATGTCGAAAACAACAGTAGAAATAAAAAAAACCTCTATAGAAATATAAACCTGGAGTAATTTTCGAGAAAAAAAAAGGAATCGCGTAATGTTTTGTTACGAAATCATCCCTTGATGGCGTAGTGTCACATGGGCGATAAGCTTTAATTTATATTTTACGCCTATATTCGCATGTGTTTCCTTAAAGTTAAAAAAAAAAAAAGGCATGCATGTGTAGAAACACCAGTAGGGGGTCGTCCATAAATGACGTCACTCTCGAAGGGGGAGGGGGTCCGCAATTTTGTGACGGTGTGTGATGAGGGGGAGGGGGGAGGTTTAGATGGTGCGACGTCACACTTTTGCATTATAAAAAAGCAATGTTAAAAACTAATTTAAGACGTTATTTCGCGTTTTAGAAAACTGTTTTTAATAAATTGCAATAGGAATTGATTAAAATTAAAATACTCTATATTGACAGAGTTAGACAAGATTTTGGAAAAATATCGATGTTTTAAGAAAAATCCAACTGCAATTTTGAGGGGGGTTGTAGGCTGAGGTGTGACGTCAATTTAGGGGTGGGGGTCTGGCTTTTTGTGACGATGTGTGACGGAGGGGAAAGGGGAGGTAAAAATCGTCAAAAAAAGCGTGACGTTATTTATTAATAACCCCTATGGGGCTGTTTACAAGTAAAAATAAATTTTAAAAATTAGTTAAGATGTCACATTGAAACGCGAACACTTTGTAAAATTTGTAAATAATTCATAGTAAGTGAAATGATTGCTTATCTAAGCTACATTAAGCTACAAGTTTTCTTTACTTTCAATATTTCTTCAACTTTATTGTAAACTTTATTGAACTACCGGCTACTCTATAATAATAATAATACTTAGACAGTTGTTCTGGCAGCAGGCGAGGGGGGGGGGGGGGCGGAGTTTGATAAATAAATTCAAGTTGTTTTTAAAGTAGGCTTTCGTTAGAAGAGTGCCTGGCTCGTTTTCCACATCTTTAGTGGGTTCAACTTTAACTGCTGCAGCTGCAGAACGCTGACTGTCCCCCCCCCCCCCCTTTGTGTGTCTCGTATCCTGTGATTAAAATGCTTTTTTAAAATGTTTTTAGTCTGAATCTTACTCTAAGTGAATTCAGTCTGTAGCTCGGGCTACTACAGGCGTCAACAAGACGACCGCAGAATTTGCTCAAACTACACTGTAAACACTTCGAAATCCCAAGTGTTTGCAGGTCCGTTTACTCCCTGGTTCAATGGTGTAGGCTAGATGGAGGGGGGTGGGGCGCCCAGAGCTGCCCCATGTAGACGCCAAAAGAGGTAGAAATTATATTTTAAAAAAAATCTAATTTAGAGCTGCATTACCAAGTTAAACATTTTCGTTGTTCACAAATTAGATACATAGCTAACATTAGTTGTTTTTTAAATATATAAAATGCATATATTATAGTATGATATAGATCTTAGGCGTATTTATTTGCGTATTAATCTTTGTATCACTGGGAGTGTGGTTTTTAACTGTTCTTTTTCTCTCTACAGGTATCTTTAGAGTTCCTCCATTCATCTCTTCGGGGGGGGGGGGGGGGAATCCGCCGACCCGAAGAAAGTCTACCGTCCCCCGAACGAAATGGAATTTATATAGAAAATACTTTTATCAGTGTCCGCCCCACCCCCCCCCCCCACGGAAAATTTAGTCGTCCCCCCCCCCCCCCCCCCCCCCCGGAGAAAAAAGTCTGGAAGAAACACTGGTTCTATCGTCACCTGGTTCATTTAAACTACAGCAGAAACGAATATTTTTGCATCGATAGTTTCAAATGGCAGCAAATTTTTATTTTGTTTGATGTAGTATAGCCCAACAAAGTCATGTGCATGTTACAATGTTGAAAGTTCACAATTATTACAGCAATTTATTTTTTACCTAAACCAGTGTCATAACTTTGAAAAATCCATTCACGGGGAAGCAGAGGCGTAGCGATGGGGGGGGGGGGGGGCGCAGGGGTACATATGTCCCCGGGCGCCGACCTTAGGGGGCACCAAAATGAGTTGTAAAAACAAATTAAAATGTCATTTTAGCTGAATTTTGCATTATAAATAGTTTAAGGGGGTGGGGGGTGCAAATCGAAAGTTTGAAAGCGGGGGGGGGGGGGGGGGTGCAAATCGAAAGTTTGAGGGGTGTGTGCATATTGAAAATTTGTTCCCGAGGGGGCGCTAAATTGAAAGTTTGTCCCCGGGCGCCGGGAAGGGTCGCTACGCCTCTGCGGGGAAGCATCCAACATACAGAGGTATAGCAACCCATACCGACGCCTGGGGCAAACTATCAATGTTGCGCCCCCACCTCATTCAAACTTTATTCGGGCGATCCCCCCCCCCCACCCGCCATCCCTTAGCTACGCCTCTGGCCTACTAACATTCAATTGAAATATAATTCATTTCCATAACTCAGAATTATTTAAAAATACGACCAACATTTGGTTAGAGGAAAAAAAAAAGAAGAACAAGCCTAGGCCGTCCATAAATGACATCACACTCGTAGGGGGAGGGGTCCCGTAATTTTGTGACGGTGTGTGATAAGGGGGAGGGAGGTTCAGGTGTTGTGACGTCACGTTTTTGTATTATAAAAGCAATGTTAGAAAACTAGCTTTAGCAGTTATTTCGCATTTTAGAAAACTGTTTTAATAAATTGTAATAGGAATTGTTTAAAATACTCTATGTTGACAAAAGTCATACACGATTTTGGAAAAATATCGTATTTTAAGAGGGGGGGGGGTATAGCTTTTAGTGACGATGTGTGACGGAGGGGAAAGGGGGGGGGGGAGGTACAAATCGTCAAAAAAGCATGACGTCATTTATGGATGACCCCTATTTCTAAATAAAAACGCGTGTATATGAAGTATTGGGGGTAAAGGATAGTTTCCTTCAGTAACACAGTGCCTCATGGGTTGTCAATTATAGATGATTCGCGCCTAAACGTTGCTGCAAAGAAATAATACCACCACCAATACACTTAGTAACAAAAATCCAGACGCACCGCCCAAATTATCGTCACAAAAACTCAGACCCACCGTCCACACTGACATCACAAAAATTTTGCAACACCGCCCAAATTGAGGTCACAAAATTCATTAAGTTCTGCCCTCGTCCATTATTAAAGATTTTCAAAAAAGTAGTTCCCTTTCAAACCTGACGGCCTATGGGAGAAGTGAAGTAAATTTCATCAGTTTCTAAGACATTCGTTTATGAAGAGATAGTGCGGTTAACACTATGGCCAGGTACCACCAGAGCTGAGTGGGCTCAGGGGGGACTTGAACCCGGATTCAAACTCAAGACTCCGGTTAGCAGTTGAATGCTCTACAATTCGACCACACGCTCCCATAAAGAAAGGAAGAATTAAAGTACATTCATAATGTTTAAGCAACACAATTTCTCAGCCATATTCCCAAGCACCTGGCTAAAGTTTAAATCTCACTTCCCTGGGTGTTTGACCTGATGAATTTACACAAACAGAAAGTCATTAAAAACATTAAAAAATAAAAAAAATAAACTATTGTTTTTTTTGTCCAATTAATTGTATTCAGTAACATTATTATACATTCTGTAATATATTGCTTGTAATATATTCATACAATATTTAGTCATTTGTTACAGTTGGAAAAAAAGTCTGTTATTTATCATGTCATTACAAATTGGCAGCTAGGGAAAATTGTAAGAATTTTGTAATTAAAAACATTTTTGTAACATAGTAAACCAAAAGAAAAGTAATGTTTAATTCAGTTTTAACCAACTTAATTCAGTAATATATTTTTTCATTTGACAGATTATTTAGATGTAGCTTTAAGTTTCAAATTAAAAAGATCTGTTTTAATAAATTTTTACTACTCAACTGCTTCTAATTAAAATATGTAGCATAGATGTCAAACAATTTTTGTAATATCTCAATATATTGTAGGTATAAAAATGCATAAAAGTCAGCATTAGAATGGACTAAGAATGGAAAAGAGTATAGGCCATTGGTAGGGCTAGGTGACAAAATTAAAAATAGAAATCACTGGATTATCTGATAAATTAACTAAAGCGTGCAATTGCCTATTTTGAATTTGAACTGACACATTACTGAAAGATAATAAAAAAAATAGCTGACAAATTATTAGTTTTTTTTTAATGTTAAAAATTAACTACTTATTGCACTGATTACAGTTTAAATCTTAAATCACGGATTGCACATTATAATTAGTATATAAGACGATATATTTTTCTGTCATGATAAGGCAGATCAGCTAAAATTAATATAATGCTAGTTTTGCTGAAGGCAAGACTAAGACAGCAAGATCTACATTTAGGTATGGAGTTATTGTGATGAGTGTTACTACCAGTTGCACAGCAAAGGCAGTCAGGCTGGTGTTAGCCATGCACCACAATAAGAAAAAAAAATGGCATCAACTTAGTTTTAAAAAATTAGTCTGGCACACAAAGCAGAAAGTCAAATTGCACATTTAGTGCATAAAAAATACTACAATTTTCTATCCAATGCATTAAAAAAACTGCTTGTGGCTTATTTTATTAAAAAAATGATTTTATACAAAACTCATTAAAAACACATTGTGCATAAAATTTTGTGTGTGGAGTAACATTAACATCCCGTTCTTAGAACCTTACTACTCATTTCAAAATGGTTTTTTAGATTAGGCGACAGACTATTTTTTTTATGTGGGGGAGGGGGGAGGAATAAACAGTAGTCTCTCACCAAGAAGCAAATACCCTAGCGTCACCACTGGCTAATACTAAGAAATGACAAAGTGCCTAATGCTCCAAAATAATTTCCGACTACAAATTAGAAAAACTGTGTCATCTCTAATCCAAAGTTAGCAACTTAATGCATATTTATTACGCTCAACAAAGTGTTTAAAATTCAAAGGGAAAAAAAAAACAATGGCTATAATAATGGAGGGAGCTGTCACAACAAAATGTTATTCAGGGGTTCATACCACCAGGGTCATTGTATTAGTAAGTTGTACACATGAGCATCTGAATTAGAAAAAACAAAGTGCTCTTGCAGCACAGAAATATCATGATGGTAGATCAACATGGAACAGATGGGACTAAGAAGATATCTAGCACTTACATAACAAGTTGATGTTAAAGTGTAATTTTTAGAAGAACATTACTGTGTAATAGTATAAAAACATGTTCACAATACAAAAAAACGTGTGTTCATCTTACATCACTATTCCAGTCTAAATCACAAAAAATACTAATAAAACTAATACTCATGATTTACAAAAAATAAATAAAAAATAAATTTGTGCTCAGATCTAATATTATCAAGAGCAACACCGAAGATACACACAGAAATAAGATTATATATATTTTTTTAAAGCTACTTGAACTGCTAAACCCTGAAGAAGGGTGAGAGATACTAAAAATCCCAAGGTAACTAACTCTAAACTAATATTCTTTTTACTACAATATCATCAATATTGAAAGAAAGAGCATTTCAATTTAACTAGTAGAGAAATTCATTGACTAATGTAAAAAAAATGTCAACACATTAAAGAGCAAATAATAATCACAATGTTTTTTTAAAAAAAATTAGTGGAGATATTAAAAATAAAAAATACATAGTACCTTATTTTAAGTAATAATATTTTCATGCTTTATAGAATAATAAAGTCATGTTTTATTTACAAAATTTTTTTAAATTTTACAAGTTAATAAAAAAATGTGTTTAAAATTAACCTTTGTAAAGGTGGAAGATTATGGTTTTTATAATTTAATTTATAAATGCAGCTGTAAAAATGCTATGTACATAATTTGAAATCCAAGTGACGCACAACTTACATGAATTGTGGAAGCTTAGTTTTAGATTACCTTAACAACCAAATTGGTATTACCATAATTTAATAAATGAAATTGTCCCAGAAAATTAGAAAAATGGGCTGAGCTACATGAACTAACGAAATTAATATCTTGTAAGTGACTAGAGATAATCACAGATGATTAGTTCATACTTTTTGATAAGTAATGTTTTACCAAAAACAAACTCAAATACACTTAATGAAAAATATTTTACAAAAAAAAACAACTAAGAAATGTCTAATAATGGATTATGATTGCTGAGTCATCCAGAAAGTATAATGAATTGTACATAAATACTGAATATATATGCTGTTGGTTAAATCGTGTTTTAAAATAAAAATGTATTGATTTGAGCAAAAAAAAAAAAAGAGGCCAAAATATGCAGTGCAACAACACATACGTTGTTTTGAAAACACAACTAGTAATGGCAATACAAGTTACTTCAAAGTTTAAGCAACAGGTCCATTACTTTTTTATACACATAAAATATATCGCTAGACATGCACACTAACTACAGCAATTATTTTGATTTTAAACAGAAAAATTAATTTAAAAAAATGTTCAAAATGCAAAGAAACATAATATTGTTGTATAGTTAACCCGACTTGTGTATAAGTGTTGATGCCGAATTTTTATAGTAAACATATTTAGTCAATGCTAAAAATAGAGAAACTTTTCTTTCAGATAGTAAAGTAAAAACAAAAGGGAATTTATGTTAAATTACAGAAAATGTATAATGGCCAACTAAAGATGCCACTCTAATCACAACTTTAAACATAAAAATGGGACCAAAAATATAAACGATGCAAGGTTTATTGAAGTGGATTGATCACAAAATTTTAATGATTGATGAATTTGATGTACAAAAAGGAAAGTAGGTTTGACATACCTTGCAGTCATAGTGTAAATAATATAATGAGTCTAAACTATATTTGAAATTTTTTTAACTTAGGGTGAGATGTAAAAAAATCTTTTGGTATATTGCCTTATAAATAAAGAAGTAAAAATGCACAACAGAGATACAGAAAAATTAAGTTACAATGATTACAAAAATACATGATATAAATATTGCAGATGTTATAGGGGCTAGTTGTTCAGATAAATTTGTAAATTACAGAAATGTCTATTTATAAAACATAAAAGGCACAACCTGATTAAAGATCATTTTGTGGTATCACAATATATGCAGGGATCAAGAGATTTTTCTTTATGTTTTAAAAATATTTTTTTAAATATATAAACATTTTCTGTAGAATTGAATTGTAAATTTTCATCTTATGCTTTTGGACTCAACTTATATAAATTTTCTTGGTCATATTGGCTTGTATTAATTGATGAAAGTAACATAATTGTTGGTGATATTGTTAATTCACAGGACTATTACTTCAAAGATCTTTACAAAAAATTGCGTAAATAGAGAGTATATAGATTTCATGACTATAGTAGAAAAATATATATTTACAAATGATAAACAGAACAAGTAATAAACTGCAGTGTTGCATGCAAAAAATTTACCTAAGGCACAAAACAGGCCAGGTATAAATATTGCATTTGTTCAACAATCTGTTACAAAAAAAAACTTTGAGTGACATTAATCTCTTTTAACTGAACATAAGTTTAGAATGTTATCAACCATTTTGGCTACCATAAGTTACTGAAGAAGTAACAAAGTGCCAGTTATGAGAGCGTTGTAAACCCTCTAAAAATAAATTCTACCCACTCAGTAAAAGTAGGTACTACCCCCTCCCTTAAAAAAAACAACCCTTTTCATGTAATAAATGCTTTGTTTATTACTTACAAACCACCACCCCCCAACGTTAATCTAATCAAATGACTATTTATAAGATTGCAGATTCAGGTGGCAACTTGTGCTGGCCGAACATGCTCATGTTTGCCAGTTGGGGGAAGTGAGCTACCTTTACCAGTGTTAGTTTTGGTGCCTTGAGATGGCAGGACATGGTTCTGTACAGACTGGTGGTTAGGGGCACCTTTGACTGGATCTGGTGGTGCTGGATGATGCTTCTGGACTTTCTGATAAGCTGGACCCTGGCTATTTGGGAGAGCTTGGACTTTGGCGGATGTCTGGTGTTCCATGCAGGACACAGGGTGCGTCCAGGTGGTTGTTTGATTTAGGTGGCTGGAATTATACATTAATCTGTTATACTGATTGATATGAAAACATTTAACTGCAGTTATACAGCTGAAAAATATTCTTGATAAAGTTTTAATACAATAAAAAGATCAAATGATTAAAAGTTTAAATCAAATTACATTAAGTACTAACTCATTTCTAGATGATCTACAATTAAAACACTTAATTTTCAAAATTTGATTTTTATTTATTTTTTGAAAGATTTATTGAATAAAACTCACTGCCAATCAAACAGCTGAATCTAATGCACTTTGAATTTTTTTTAAGATTAAACAAAAAAAAATACAAGTTGACTAAATAAAATGTTACTTACTTTATGTAATATTTGACTCCCTCTGCTGTGTAGGCTTCTTCCCAACCAAATGGTAGAGCTGATTAAATAATTTTAATTGATTAACCAATTAAGTGTGTTTTTTGTTTCAAAATATTTGATATAAAGTATTGTGTTTTAAAATTTTAAAAATATACATGAATATAAAAAGGTTTCAAAATTAAATTAACATTCAATTAAATAAATGTTAGTATCGTTTTGAATTTTGTCAGTATGAATGCCTTAAAAACTTACGGATTGTTTCCATGAGTGACCTGACAACTTTAATGACCTCTCTCCCCTCAGTGGATAACTTCTGTAACTGTTCCTTTTTGCTGACTTTGCCTCCATTGCCACCATCTGCACCCTGTGTTCTAAAAGATACAGAAAAATTAATTTATCAAAAGGTAGGTTCTTTTAATTAACATATCTTCCTAAACTGGATTAAAATCCAATGAAGCACAGATTTTAGAAACATAATTTTTTTTTAAATTTTGGGGTCAAAGGTCAGTTTTTTTTGTTTCTATTAACTGTACTTATTGTATTATGGGTTTGTCTGTCAAGTTTAATGTTAAGCTACTTTTACTTTCCCCAAAAGGCCTATCAAATGAGCAGCCACTTAAACATGAGATTTCACTACTAAAGTAAAGAGCAAAATAGAAATAAGAAGCTAAAAACTATACCTTGATGTGTTATCTATAGATCCAAAGATGTCAAGTGAATGCTCTACAAATCCCATCAGTTTCTCAGTGGCCACTTCATAAGTTTTTTTCCCGGATTCAGCTTTCTTCAGCTGGCACACAAGAACTGCCAATCTTTTCTGCATGTTGACACCATCCTGAAGATAAAAAAGAAGTAAAGCTACAGTCGCCTTTACTTTTCCCAACTTACTCATCAGAGATGGGTGGACTCAGAGTCCAGACCATGAACCGAACTCAAAACTTATGGGTTAGTAGCCAAATGCTACATGCCCTCCAACATAAAGATACATTTCAGCTTATGTTGAAATGTTTGTAATGTTACTTTGAAGGTTCATAAAATATTTATTTCTGTAAATGTATCCTATACAAAATAATATATCGATTCAGCTGTTTTTGAGTTTGAGCTAAGTTTTTTTTAAAATGTCTAAGCACAACTGAATTTCAAAAGTTCAGTACTACAGCAATACTTTTGGACTTACTGATTTAGACATTTGCAGTCTGAGTTGTGCTACTTCATTTTCCAACATTGTTACCACTTCCTCATAATCTCTTTCTGTTTGTTGTGCCTTGGTCTGGGCCTGCTCTGCCAAGTGCAGTTTACTTTTGAGTGATCTCCCTTCTTCTATAGAGGCTTGTGCTTGCTACAACAAAAAAACAGAACAAGTACATACATAAATCATAACAACAAACTATTTAAAAATTTCCCTCAACAAACATGTTTAATTACTACACAATTAAGCTCATAACACATACCTTCCTAATTAACAACAACTGTTCCTCTGCATTTTGACTGACCAAGTTTCTATTTTTAAGCTCTTCTTTTAGCGCAGCAACTTCTGCTTTTAACTGATCTCTTTCACTAATGACACTTGCATAATCCTCAGGTGTATGTATACTCTATAATGTAAGCCAAGTTTTATAACAATTAGGTTTCCATTAAATCATGAGTGAAAAGTAATATGTTTATATATTCATATATATATATATATATATATATATATATATATATATATATATATATATATATATATATATATATTTATATATTTATATATATATAAGATATACAAAGCAATCAAGCCACACACAATTAATGTTTTATCTTTTGACATATTTTTTAAATAACTATAAACAGTCACAAAGTAGATTTGGATACAATGAGTCCTTAACTTATTAACTATGAATGCTACTTCCAAAAGAAATCAACACTTACTTTAGCATTCAGTGTGTGTAAAGTTGTTTGCCCTTTCATAAGTTCCAGATCATTTTCATAAACAGATCTTGCAACCTCAACAAAGTCTAGATGAAAACAAATTTTAACATTAGTAGTTAAGCATTTCAAGAAATGAGATAGCATGCAGCAAAATTTTATTTTTACAACTGATACATGATATGATTATACCTGCAAAAAAAATCAATTACCTATACCAATAGGGTATTGCATGGAAGTTTAAATATAATTTTTGTTTCTGGAGACCAACAATTGATAGCACAGAACATTTTTATTTTATGTAAAGAATGTTATTTTTTTACAGCTACACAGCTAGGCTCTATTTTTATGTAACATTTGTTTCTCTTCTTGTTGACATACACTGTTGTCTCTTTTAAGCTATTATTTTTCTGAGTTTTTCTTCAATCTCAGGAATTTATTTCATGATTTTTTTGGTAGCAGCATTTAATTTTCTACTTTCTAAACATTGTTACGGGACAGCCCAATGATGATTTTATATGCAATGGATTCTGCAATTCCTACTCTATCTTCAACTACCTTATTCATGGAAAGTGTAGGACAGATTCTATACATTGATTGTTTATAATCCAATCAGAATCGGTGTAGAATTTGCAAGGTAAAACTAATTAAATAGGTATACATTATTGAAATGTCCATAAAATAAGTGGGTTTTTTTTTCAGTGGACATCATGTCAAGAGACACCCAAACATAATGCTGATAGTTATTTTCACAAGAATGTAAAGTTAAAATAAGCTTCATGGGTGAGTATGTTGTAACAATATCTATAAATATTCTATCAACGGATAAATATAAATAACCTGTAGATGCAGCTTGTAAATATTATTTTCAGACATAAAAATCTACATACCTTCAAAGCGCACCATCCCTGAATGATCAATATTCAGCTGTTGATGTAGCAGTGACTGAGAGGATGGAGTTACTTGTAAGCCCAGATTTGTTAATGCCTGAAATAAGGTAATATAACAGTTCTAAGGTTACAAAGCATTATTGTAAAACAGGAAGCAGCTAAAAATCTAGGATGTCAGTAAGATAAGAAACAAATTTTATTATTAAATATACTACACACTATATTATTTAACAAAGCATACATTTACATAAACAAGTAATCACAACTTACTGCTTCCAACTGAGTAATATGCATCTTTAGACCTGGGTCTTGGGACAATTTCTTGGAAAGTAGAGAGTCTAGATGATCTGATGGTGTGGCTTTAACTTTTAAAGCAGAGACGCCATTGCTTTGTGTGAGGAGAGAGAAAGGGGGGTTTGAAGAGTCCCCCATGTGATTGGCTAATTCGCTGGCGCAGCTAGATGTTGGACTGAGATGACCATTGGGGTCACCATTTGCACCTGATATATATTTTTAAAAGTTTATTTTAGTCTCTATAAAATGATAGACAGCTTATAATCATTACACATACAATATCTTAGAGTATATCTTTTCATTGGTAAAGAAAGGCCAAAAGCAAATTATTTATTCTTTATTTAAGTGTTAAAGTAATCTAAAATGATAGCAGATTTTTTTTAAAGATAGGAACATAAGGTGTCATTGTTAAGTTAATAAGAATAAGATTTTAAAATTTTATTACCTGAATATATAAAATCACTCTGATCTTCAGAGGTATCTAAGTATAAGGGGTTGCTCTGTAAAAAAGGGAAGAAATGTTTTAATATATTTTTACCCACAAGATGATTACTTTGAAATAGTTTAAAATCACTAAGAAAATTATATCTTGGCATTAGCATGGAAACCAGGATGTGAATGACATTCATAAAATAATATATACACTAAACATTGTAGCCCCACTGGCTAAATATACACCTTTATACAACTACATTATGGGGTGGCTTGGGTCATGCTAACTGCTAACTTGTAAGCCATGTATTTGGTTCAAAGACTCAAATATGTAGGATAAGCACTCAGCTCTGATGAATACCTGAATCAAGCCCATGAGAATAAACTATGCTTGCTAAAGAGATGAAAACATGAAAACACGTTTCTAAGCCCAGCTAAAAAAAAAACAGGTGAACTCATCATAAGTGTGATGGTACTTTCAATTCTGAACTGATTATCAATTACAAATAAAACGCATTTAAAAATTAACATAAGACCTAAAATGAACATGTGAGAAGTAAACAACCAATACCTTCAATTGTCCTCCAGTCTTTACTCTAAACTCTGAATCAGAGTCTGGAAATTTCCAAACAAATTTAAAACATTATATCTTAACATTACAGACACACTGAAGTGGAAAGAGAAATAAAAAATAATGTTGACAACTGTAAAGGATATTTTTTAAATATATCTCTTTATTAATAGTTTCTTCAAATGTAAGGAGTTCACACATGCCAATGCTGTCTCAGTCTGGTGTCACAGAAAATAAAATTTCACCAACACCTAAGCCTTTCTTAAAATTATCTTGGTGTTAATAACTATTTACATCATCTAAAAAACTAACAAAGCAAATGTAGTAGTAAATGAGAACCGTTTTTAAATTTTGTATAGATCTACTAAATAACCATTTATATCTAGCACCTATGAAACAGCTAGGAACAAAAACCTACATGCTGCCTAGACAATTATTATAAACTTCTCACCTAGTATAGGCATGCCATAAGTTTGATCCCCCACTGTGTATGGGCTAGTAATAGGCCCAAATCTGTTCAAGTATTCTGAAAACTTCTGCCTGTAACAGAGTACATACCATTTTCAAAAACTTCTAAAGCAACTTTTCAAGTCATCTTACATTATTCAAGTGCTATAAAATGTTTTTTTAAAATTCAATGACACACTGGCTTTTATTGTTGAGGCTGGCCAGCTGTGACTGGATCAATAGTGAATATGATGTACAGTAGCCATTGTAAGGGCAAGCGTGTAAACACACCTTGACTCTGCATCTCTTGTGATTACCATTTCTACATGGTTAGAGGCTGATGCTTGGCGCAGCATAGACACAGCTCTACATAAAAAAAACAGTACATAAATAAGGTATGTATAAATAAGTTAATAATAAATCATTTTAAAAATATTAATATGCACAAAGAATATTGGTAAACTTTTGTTTAACATGAAAAAGTTGGATCACCAATGCAAACCTTTCATATGATACATTTTGCATCAGTTGTCCATTTACTTCCAAAATTTGGTCTCCATCATGTATTTCCCCTAAATGCAAAATAAAATATTGTCAGTCTGTACCCTCTAGTTTCAGAAAAACTATGTTTGAAAACAGAGTAATAAAAACTACATTAGACAGTTTTGTTTACTAGCATAGTAGTATGATATTGTTATTGAAATGGTGTTTTTTCTTTCTTTTTTGTTGAATTTACATAATTTATTTTGTATTTACACTACACAAAGTGACTGATGGCAAACTCTATTGTAACAGAAAAACATGAATGGTATATTTTTAAAAAAGTACAGCTCATATGAAGCTTATTTATAGTGTGCCAATAAATAAACATTTTACTAACTAAACTTTCTGCCACCACTGGTCAGTTATTTATTAAAATATCATAGATCTTGATTTCATATTTTTTAACCTGTTTAGCAAACCTAAATCAACAAAATTTACAATTTCAATGAGAATGATTAAGTACTCATTCTACTGGCCTAATGTCCATGACTTTTACTGTACTAGATGCACGAATAACATTAAAATTTACATTTTATCCCTCTAAAATAATCACTTGTAGTTCTGCATAAATAATTGAATTTTCCATTTCAAATACCCCCATATAGACTATTAACACTCAGAATGAACCTATATATATATATATATATATATATATATATATATATATATATATATATATATATATATATATATATATACATTTTAAAAAAAACCCAATATTTTAGGGGGGAAATTCACCGGGTGTTTTTTAAATAATATTTAAAAAACAACAAGTTACCTGTAGATTCTGCAAGACCACCAGGCAGCACCCTTTTTACAAAAATTCCATAATCCTCCTGTCCATCAGTACTGCAACCACCACAAATTTTTAAACCTGGATAATTTCACACATTATCATAAATACTGGGGTATACAATAGCATTCTTTCTGGTGGAAACTTAACAAAACTTATTTGACATGTTCATGAGTTAGGAAAACATAGATCTAGAAGCATGTAGCAATTCAAGAACCGAAGAAGAAATACTTAATTCACCAGGTGGGCCTACACACTCACCTAAACCTTTGGTTGTGTGATCAAATATAATTAAATCTGCCTCCCTTCCTTCATTCTTGCCATTTGAGCTTGATAAATAAAAATACTTTTAATTAACATAAACAAATCAGCCTACTTTCAAAATGTTTTTTGCTTAAATATATAAATATAACATGATTTTTAAAAAAAAATCACTAGATAATGTAGTTGTTTAACTCAATTTTAAATAAAGAGAAAAGATAAAGTAGTTTATTAGGCATACTCAAAAATAAAAATAAATATACCTAGAACTGTTTACTGGGTTATCCTTCATGGATTGTGACTCTGTTACGGTCAATGTAACTGACATCCCTCCAAAAGTTCTTTCCTGCCAGTATTCCTGGGTGGGTTGGGATTAGGACTGATTTAGGATCATATTTAATTTCATAGCTTGGGTAATGGTACCCTTGCTTTAGGCCTTCCCCCCCATCTAGGTGTTTTTTCTTTTTTTTTGTTGACTGACAACAGTTACACTTAACTTTTTTTTGAGGGGGGGGGGGGGTATTTTAAAAACTATATTATAGCAGTAGGATAAGGTTTAGAGTACTTTTCCATTCAACAAATTTTGTTTTAGTCCAACACAAGGCTAAATTTTTTTAGAATCTTGCTAACTTGCAAAAGTAGCTAAGACTAGTGAGTAGAGTAAGCTCATACAAAGTTATTGGCCTTAGGACTAGGTTAGTAGGCCCTATTATATAGTAATACTAACTAAGTATATAGTATAGTATAGATAATAGATCTAGTATATTCAATATTATTAATATTCATTATACTTTTAGGGGGAATTTTTATACTGGTGTCCGATAATGGAATCTTCTTTAAAAAAGGGGTGTTAGGTTACTAGTACTAGTAGTTAACTAAATACACACATTGCTGGCTAATGTCAATGCTAACCCTGTCCCTAACCCCAACCCAATACTACTAACTTAAGTACGAATAGCCGTAGCCTTATTAAAATTAAAAAAGGGTTAGGGACAGGGTTAGCATTGACATTCATTAGATTCATTTAGATTTTAATTTAGAATACATTAGTGATTAGAAATGATTAGCCAGTTATCATGTAACCTAACACTTAACACTACACCCCTTTTTTTAAAAGAAGATTCCATTATCAGACACCGGTGTAAACATTCTCCCCTTATCCTTAATAATTTAACTAGATCTAGAATCTAGATACAGATAGAGATCTAATCTAGATTTCTAGATCTAGATTCTAGATCTACTAACTACTAGCCTTGGCCTGTCTATCTCGTACATCTGATCTACTGGATCTTATTAATTTTCGATAAATTGCTTACTTTAATGAAACTCTAGCATTACAGATGATTTTGTGGTAAAATCACGATATAGCGTCGGAAATTATTGGGTAATGTTCGTTGAGTTTCGGTAACATTCGTTACTGTAAACCATACTTTATTTGACCGGTGAAAGAAAAATAAAGTCAAGTGCATTAAATTAATGTTTTAACTTAATTTAATGTTTAACTGACAAAAAATTAGCAACACTTAGTAAATCTAAATATTATTAATAAAGTCGAGTGTAGTAATTAATGGTTTTTTTTTAAGAAACAGATAAAATCTGCAGAAGATTTGCGACAACCAGCTCTAGATCTAGTTCTGTTAGTAAATAAGACGATTAGGCTAGATTAACTAAAGTTAAAAGTAGTAAGAATAACTAGAATAATGTTTAGTAGCAGCAATAATTAGCACTTACACTTAAAATAGTTAGAAATACAAAATAATTAGGAAAACAGTATTTAAAATGCAACTAAAATCAATCCTTGCACATTTTTAAACATTATGTACTAAAAATAATATGGCGGCAAATAAATGATGGTTTACAGTATTTCCGGTGGTTTCCGGAACGGCTCGACAGACTACGCCATGGTTTTACTGTTTTTTTACTGCTGTACAGTTCCGGAATAATAACCGACGCTATATCGTGATTTTACCGATTTTGTTTAAGAAGCTACTATTTATTAAGATATAGACTAGTCTAGATCTAGAAGCTGGATTCTAGAACCACTCCACTGGCATTGATTTTCTGACTGCTTTAGCTTCTGTTAAAAGTAATAGGTTGCGTTTTGTTGACGGAAGTATTATGACGTCACTTCAACTTTCCCAGAATTCTTTACTCGATCCGCCATTAGAGATAACATTGGAAGGATCCGAAACGAACTAAGTTTTGGCCTGGTATTGTTGGCCTCCTTTTTATTTATGAACAAATGACGATTCTCTTGATATTTGCATAACCGTTTTGAGACAGTTTATTATTTCTCCAGACTCTACCCTTTAGTTGAAAAGTATTAGCAGCTTGAAGTACCGTAAGGAAGGGTAGACTAAGTGAACTAAACAGATCTTTTCTTAAAACAGCAGAAAGTGACGGTCTACCCGGGGTCTACGGCTGAGCTTCTAGGTCTCTGATAGTTAAATCCTAATTGAATTACTGTACCAAATAAATAGACAAGAGGCTAGACTACTATATTATACATTTGCTAATCGTGTGAGACTGAGTTACGAAAGGTGGTTCAGTGGTTAGGGTTAGGTTTTTAAGAAAGACCCTTGGTTTTGGACCTGTCACATTTTTCTGCAGCACAAGAAGTTGGTCTATTATTAATCAAGTGCACTAACAACATAACAATAATTGCTAATTGCATTGTATATCTTACTTTGAGTCCAGCTGAAAATAAATCAGTCACAGGTCTAGATTCTAGATCTACCTGTTTTGTCATTTGTGTGAGTTAAAAGGCTAAAGGAAAAAGCAACTTTGTTAAAGTTTCAAAAACTCAAACTCCCTACAACTGCAAGTTCAAAATACTGTTTTTGCAAGTGCTGCCTGGTTCAGGTGTAATCTGAACATCAGTAAAGTATAAAACCAATCAAGTAACTACAAGATCAAGAGCAGTTGGAAATAGGCCATATTTTAACTTCCTTCACTCATTCTAGGTATGCTTTTAATATTAAGATGTTATTATGGCAGGAACCTTTGAACTTTAAAGCTATCCACTATCTTATAGATAGGCCTATATTATTTTAGAATCTACACCCTGTTAGTGATTACTTATAGTCTGCTGAATAGTAACTCAATATAGGCCTAATTAATTTCTTACACTACGGATAGAAAAATGTGTCTGTCTAAATATCACCCCTAAAAGTAAACAACCTAATATTTTCAAGATGGTAGTCTATAAAATTGTTTTTATTATGTACAATTTATCACTATGAAAGTACTTTACTTCGGCTAATTGCATTTAATATAAAATAGGGCCTATGTAAGAAAAAATATTTAATCCATTTGGTAGTTTCTGTTATTAGGCTTAGACTCAGCCAAGTGATATTAATATTTATACTATGTCGTTATTGCATGTAGGCCTCGAAATATCCTAAATATCCTAACTGTAGCATATGAATATGAGACATACTGTTGAGTAAATGTTGGGCTCATATGACATTATTGAATCTATATGATAAGAGGTAGGTCATTCCGCTACATATGTTTTGTGATTAAGCTATCTCTTGTTATGAATTTTGAAGCAGCAAACATTAGGTTCCTTTTTGATGCTATTCCTGGTCTAAAACATTATCCTGAAAGAAGTGCCATTTGTTTCTGAGGTATCTGTTTCTGGCTCAACACCAGAATATCAGAATTATAATAATTAAGTTCAGAAAATGTTTTGGATTCCATAGATGAAACAGGATGTAAAAAAACTCAAATAAACCAAGTTCGTCAAATAAGCAATTAAGTAACTTAGTAAGATAATTGCATAAAGTGATTATAAGGACTAGACTAACCCGCCCCTCCTTTGCCCCTCCATGTAGCAATTGTGGCTCTTGTGACCTCACTATGACCCCAAGTAAATGTTTGGTACTGCTTGTCTGGAGAAAAAAAAAATGACGTCACAGCCAATCTCAAATTATTAAAATAAAACCTCAGTTACACTTGTTAAATTTTAAGTTTTTAATAAGGTAAACATTAAATTGCAATCTTCGTTGTTATTTTAGAGTAACATAAACTTCTTTTATTTAGATTACATTAGTTACATTAAACATTAATTAGTTCACTAAAGGTATTAGACTGCTTTAATTTTGATAAAACATTGAGTTTTTGTCCAAAAGTTTTTTTCATGGTCTGGTCACATCCCTGATTTTAAAGAGAAGTAATTAGGCAAAAACCAAAATTTAAATGTTTTATTTAGGTAAAATATATCCCATTATTTTTTTTGTTCAGTTCTTTACTATTTACTATCACACTCTCTTTTTCACTTCACAGCTGCTTCAAGATCTTTGTAAATGTAAAGTGTCTTTGCTCTGTCCATTTGTTTTATAAGTCTTCATAAAATTAAATCAATTACTTTGGTTGAATTTAAAACAGTTTTAATGCTAAAATAAAAGCTGTGACTTGGGGTTTTTTTTGTGCTATTTTTTGTGAACTAAGCTATAAGGAAGTTGCAAGACATGTACTGTGTCTTCTCAGTGTAATTTTAGCTTTATAAGTTGGTCTAGTTTGGGAATTTATTATCCTATGATAAGAATTTATTACTAGTGTGCTACACTACACAGGATTTTTATGCCCTTATATGTGTATTTTTTGCCAAGCTGATTGATACCTACATAAAAAAGTACATTAAGCCCATAACCTAGAAAAATAGAATCAAAAGTTCTAAATATTCAGGGCCTTTTCAGAAGATAATTAAACTACGTGTAATTTTTAAAATTTTTTTAAGTTACTTAGGAAAAAATGTAAATCAACTTTTACAAATTCAAGTTGTTATTTTTAATGTATATTGTATTTTTAGTCCAGTTTTATATCCAGATTATTCAGATTCCCAAATGTTACTTTTAATATGTATCTTCAGGTGTATCTATTTTCATGTTTTATGATCATGTGAATAACCTGCAGTACATTGCCTAATACATAATAATAACCCAGTGCTAATATTTACCTTTAAAGTTACACAACACAGTTGATTCTGATGGGAGTCACATTTACAGATTGTAGTTTAGTAAAATGTATTAGCTTACATTAAAGTATAACAGATAGCGCTTTCTTAACGAATTCATTATTTTGTGCTTTGTAAAATATAAATATAATTAAAATTCTATCCACAGTTTTATAGTAAAAAAAGATGGGAACAAGGCACATTCCCAGTGACAAGGTGTGTATCCAATGTTTATACAGCTTATATTAATAAATACAGGTTTATATTTTACACTGGCTATCGTTATATATACAGTTTACTCCAAAATAATAATTTATGCTAGACTTAAAACGGAAAAAAAAAGTAAATCAGATTGCATTCACATTAGTTGAAATATATATATATCTTGCATCTTTTATTACTTTCATTTACTTCTTACATTGAAATAAGTGACAAAACTTGATTTATACACACATTACATGTGCATCCTTTCAACACTAAGATTTACATAGCTAAATCCTAAGAGTAGTGTACTTAATCAAAATCACTTTTATACATTAGACTTTAAAGAATAAATAGTAAGTTATAATGGGATATTAGGCTAGTTATGGTTTTATTTTGAAAAATAATTTGTTTACCTAATTTGACTTCCTTCTTCTCTTACAATTACTGTGATCTAAATCAAAGTAGAAAAAAAAGCAATCAATCAATTGTTAATTCATTTTAATTACTCCTAGAAGCCCTAAATTTAAACTAAACTACAGTGAATAAAAATTTCATTAATTTTTTTGTTGTGCCATGTCTGTTACTCCCTAGATAAATGAATACTAAAGAAGTGTTTTTCCCTTTTCTTTCACCATCACCACCGTTAAACTGGTTTTATTGATTTTTTTCAAGAGAATATAGTCAGCCACTGTGGTTTTAGAGATAAAGTGACAGTTCTGTGTTAGAGGAGAATGATTTGTTTTACATAATGTGATCTCATTCTGTTCAGAGCCTGCTTTAAAAACCAAGTTTTTAATGTTTTTAGTTTTTCCTTTTTTAAATAGTTTTTCTGACAAAAAAAGTTGTCCCCTTTAAAAACATTTCAATAATATCAAATGATAGGATTTCTTTGATGTTCTCCCTTCTATCCCCTTTCTATCCCCTCAAACAATTTGACTTGTGATGGTTATATCTATGTAATGTCCTTGCAGATAACCATAATAATGTGATTTTGAGATTGTAATTTTAATACATATAATGTAAATTTAGTATTACTAAGTATTAGCCTTATTTGTACCTTTGAAAAAAGTGTATTTAAAATAAATTTTGTTCCTCCATTATTTTACTATTCTGCTGATTAAAAAACATTTTGATGCTTAATTTTCCAGATATGATTGAGGTTTTTTTTTTTTGATTTACCTGAAGGATTAAATACTTTGTAAACAGCAATCAGAGGATAGTTGGAAATACTAATTATTTTCACAGTCTTTTGAATTGTTATACCAGACCTCTGTTAATTTGAGCTTTAATCGTGTGTATTTCTGCTTAGATAAACCTGAAGCTCATTCTTGTCAGTGGAAAAACCCATGAGTTTCTATTTTCACCATCGGATTCCGCTGCAGATATTGCAGAGCATGTGTATAATCATTGGCCGGAAGGTATTTCCTAATGAGTTTGTTTGCTCAGTATTTTACATAAAATTTTAATGTCGTTTTATGAAATTTCTAATAATTACCTTTTAATTATTCTGTCATTTTCACTCTAAGCCCGGCATGAGATAATTTATATAACCTTTTTTTATTGGTTTGATTTGTATATTAATCAAGTTTTCTAACCTTCAGATTGGTCAGAAGAACCCATGCCAGCAACAAATATATTGCGGCTCATTTATCAAGGAAGATTTCTGCATGGAAATGTAACTTTAACAGGTGGAGAATAATGTTTTTAATTAGGAAGATAGTTTTTAAAGTTTTTAATAGTAAAAATAAAAAAATATATAGTTTTAATAAGTTAAAAGATTAATATATGTTATTTCTATTTATCCCTTTCTTAGCTCTTCAGCTCCCTACAGGTAAAACAACTGTGATGCATCTTGTAGCGAGAGAGAATCTCCCAGAACCAAATAATCAAGGTAAAACTATTTCACTTGTAACAACAGTCTTACAGTTTTTGACATGTATGCAAGTAGCGTAATAAGATTTAACAAATTTTTACAAAAAATTTTTTAGTTTAAAAAATAGAATAACTAAATACAAACGTTTGATGCAGTCATGATGTGTTGTGACTAAAATTATTAAAGATGCATTAAGATGTTTATTAACATTTTCAGCTCAAATAAATGAATGTAATGTTTTATTTCAGGCCAGCTAAAGAAAGACAAAAGTGGCGAGTCAGGCTGTAGTAATTGTTGTGTCATACTTTAGTACAACACAGCCCAGACACAAACAAGTTAATTTTTTTGTCAGTTTATTTATCTCATCAAATGTAAACTTTTCATTGCAAATTAACTCTTAAATCTGCAAGATCAGTAATCAGGTCACATTGACGAAGGAGTGACATACACAAAAATTATAGTTGCTGATCAAGGCACCAATCTCTTTCATGTTGTTCCCAGTAGTCTGTTACTTACTTTAACTCTGCACTCTGGTGTAGATAATGACAGTGGGAGTATTGCAACACTGGCAGTGTTTCCTCTGACCTAGTATCTGCTAAAACAGAACCAAAATACGTCGTCAAGAAACCAAAAAAACCAAGATTCTTATCATAAAAAGCAAGTCAATGAAATAATTTACAATAGTTTTGTCATTTTGAAAATATGAGTTATTGTTAAAGCACCATACCTTCAATTAAAAAAAAAGTTTACAATGTACTAAAATGGACAGTTGCAGCAAAATAAATTGTGCTGATTTGTTGCTGTAGGTCTATATAATTTAAGTAATTATATTAAATAACATACAGAAATAAGCATTTATGAGAAAAACAATGGTAAAGTCGGAGCTATGTTATCAATTTTAAAACAACTTCAGTCTTGTTGATTTCTTAACATCTACAGAAAGTTTATCATTTTTAATGTTAACCATTAATGTCCCGTAACGCCCGCTGCCGCCCGACACCGTTAATGTCCCGTAACGCCCGCTGCCGCCCGCTTACAATACGCATAGAAAAATTAAATTTGTTTCATTAAAATTTGGCCTACAAATCCTAATTTTTAACTAAACAGGAAGTCTGATAGTTTCAGCATCCTTTTCCGGTCTTCTATATTCAATGGCGCTTTTGAAAGATAAAAAATAATAGTTTCTTTCTATCTCGAAATTTTAGACTCATCTGTCCGATTTTTAGTAGATTTAATATTAAAAATAAAATAAAATAATGCCTCTAAATGTATCTAGGCATGTATTTTATGAATTATATATCTTAAACATAACCAAATTGATATTTAACTGTTAAATTCGATGCATAGTTGTTTAGACAGAAATAAATAAAGTTGACTACCGAAAATGACCTGTTTTGAATTATCTCCGACATTTTTTATTTTTATACTGTACTTGTACCGAATATAATATATTCTATTTAATACTGTTGGAAAGCCAGGTTTATTCCCAACATTAAGCAGTAATTTTTATCTTAATTTTCAATTTCATTTAAACAAAAACAAATATTTTGTGAAACTATTCACTTGATCATACAGAGTTATGCTCCTTACATTGGGCCGTCATGGGTGGAGTTTTGGTAGAATGAATGGGACATTAATGGTTAAATAAATGTCCTATACATTCTCTAGTATTTTAATTGTGGCTGTATATATGTAGATTCATTACTTTAAAGGTGTTTCAGTTGTTTTTAAACAGGGGTGAAGATAGTTTCTGTTTTGTATTTTCATAATATAAAGATTATAATAGCTTGCATGGGAACAGGAATTAAGTAAACTATATTCATTCATTTGTAGAAACACTAATTATTCTAATTAAAATGGTAACTAATTAACATATAGCATGAATAGATAACGATTAACAATATTCTCATTAATCTCAGATATTACTATATTGTTTTTAAAACACTGATTAATTTGCACTTTTAATCTACTGCACTAAGTTAGTCTACAATAGGTAGATTTAATTACTTAAATGAAACTCATTAAAAAAAACACATAATTATCTAATTCAACATGACAAATAGTGCTTTCACCATGTATGGAAATACAATATATATTGTATAAACCCTATTTGCTTATTGTATAGTGATATTGCCATAAGATATACAATACAGTATAATGTTCTAGTTTTTCAAATGCTCAATCCCTTTTCAAGTTTATTGTATCACCAGGGATAAGGTTTTATACTGGGGTGGCAGGGGTGATTTGGTTTACAACCATAGCTAATTACAGTATATTACTATTAGAGATAACTTTAAACCAATAAGATGAGGTGGACAGACATACTGAAAAATAGTTTGTTATTGTCTATTAAATATAACTTTGGTCGTTAGTTTACTATTGTATTAGTATTTCTTTGTGCATAATGTATATGATAAAATATTTTCGTTAACATGATACATCACTTTATATTTTAGTATGGAGTCGTTTTTATATATTAAATGTAGTTTATGATGCAGGTTTATGTTGAGCATGCTGTCTGAGGCATGAATTTGTTTTTTTTAAAAAACTTTTCTGATTGACATGTACATTGATTTGAATTGCTGTAATTTAAAAAATAAAAGTTATCTGTGATTTTTGACATCCTTTCAAGTAATAAAAAAAACTATTGTTACAGTTGTTTGTGGAAAAAATTTTCAATATCATATTGAAATTTATTTTCATGGTGTTATACATGAATTGTTGAATATTTTCTTTTACTACTTGAAGTGGTGTACGCTTTTAATTTCATAACTTATTAGTGGACATAATTTTTTTTTATGTATTAAATATACCATTTTCCCCCTATATTAAAAAACAACTTTTTCCAAGTGACAATATTTCTGGCATTGTACTTACTTTTGCACCTGTATATTCCAGTGAGGGGCACAGCATGAGGCATAGTTTGAACGACAAGTTTTAATGCAATCAACTAGACAAATAATTTTTAAAAAGTGTTTCATTATTTCAAGTAGGCTTGTTTAATTTTAAGTGTGTATTTTTTGTTTTAAATTTGAAGTCTAAAATGAAGTCAAAATGTTTTCTTAAGGTAAACAAAAAAAAACGTAGGAACTAAATTTACATACCCAAGAGGTTTAATATCACAGATTGGGAACTGCTGAAGTAAAGAACAGATAAGGATAATCCTGTTTATAATCACCTACTTGGAATAATGAGTTAAAAGTAACTTAGGCTAGTCAATGAGTGTTTAATTAATCCCACATGGTTCACTCTATGTTCTGGGTTTTTTCATGTACCTGCCTGGTTTTACATTTCATTAGTTGACTGTCTACTTACATTAGCTGGTAGCTTTGTTTAACTTTGTCTTAAAATGTCAGTTGCTTTCAGACTTCTTTGTATGCTGGTATGTATGTGTATGTTTAATTTTTTAAAATTGTTGCAAAAGTGTTGTGGTAACATAAACATAACTGAGTGTGTATGCAGGTGTACAATGTCGTTGGTTGTGTTAGACCTACTGAGTAGACCAGTAGCCGTACCAATTTTATTTTTTTCTCTGTGTCATCTCTTCTTGAGTTGATTGCACACCTGTTGTCAACAAAGGTTGTATTTATCTATCTTCAACTGGCTAGTGTCAACTACATTGTACCCTTTGTTTGAGTGGGTTATTTATTGCTGGCGCAGAAGCTGCAAGTGTGTAAATGTGTTGAGGTGTGTCTTTTTTTTTTTTTAATGTTCACTCCCAGTTATAGACATGTATGTTTTATTTAATACTTCCCCATTCCAAATGTGTAATATCATTCTGGATTTAGTCTAATGACCACAGAGGTAGACACAGGCTAACAGTCATGTGTTTGATGTCATTCTTTGATAGATTTATCAAGCTTTCCCAGATATGATAGTCATCATTTTACATGTTTTTTTCTTTTATAGCACTCTTGCATTCAATTCTGATGAACAATGGTAATTAAATTTGATTTACACTTGTGAAACATGTTACAATATTTCATAAACACCTGGTTTATGATCTTAACTGCCATACAGATTAAAAAAAAAGAAATTCCTGGAAATTATTTTTTTGCATTTTTATAAAAGGATCTGAAGGGATGCACAATTTTTATTTTACACTAACATATATCAAGTATCACTTTTTATATGTACTGAAGTGTTTATAAATTTAAAGATAAGATTTACTACATTACCATCTTGAATTAAATGAGCTTCACGTTGGGAACATTTTTAAAAATTAGCCTCACAGTATGTGTTCATTTCCTTTTTTTTTCTTGAGGGGAGACAGATGAATTTATAAACAGTCCAATGGCTTGAAACTTTACCACCAGGAATATAGCTTTTTATTGTGTCAGCAAATATTTGCAAGTCTCACTTGTTCATGTAAGCATAGCACTGTTTCATATATCGGATGTACATTTTTTTTTCAATATTTGTATAAAAAAAAGACCAAAAACTTTTTTTTGTGGATTATTTTAAAATGTGTTTATTTAAGTGTAAAAATCAATGTAAATTTTTTGTTATTATTTTCATCATACGTAATCTACTCATACTTACAATGTTCTATTCAAATGTCAGCATTTTTTGCCATTAAAATGCAATTTTCATCAATACAATATTCTGTTTCATTTGTACGTGTGGGGCTATAACAATGTAACAAATATATAGTAAGATTTGGACAATATAGTTTGTACAGTAAGAACCAACAATTTGAACAATACTATAAACACTCACACACCTCCCACCTTGATACTTCGTACTGCCTAGAGGATAGGGTTGCATTAATTGATAGGATTACATGTAAGGTCAATTTGTAATTATTGTCCTCCAATTTTTTTTCTTTTTGGGGAGAGGGTAAATTGACTAGGGGTAATTTCTTGCGCCTTTGTAATCCAGAGCTTTTCCATGTATTACAATGATATACGCTACATTGAGATTGAAAGCATTACATACAAAACAGAAAAGTTAAGGAAAAAAGTTACAGCACATGACACGCTTGGACTTTAAATCTTAGAGCATAGATACTTGCAATGAGTTTTTCATGTGCTGCTATTACAACACTACAAGAAAAAAAATCCAGTGGAGTATTTTAAATAACACAGATGTACCTGGATACAATATATGGATGGCCTATTTTCTAAGATCCTTAATGTCAGAAAAATGGTTACTTTATAAAAGGTAAGGAATTGTGAATCTTGTGCTATTTTCAGTTTATCATTTCATTTATGAAATCACATTTATTATTCAGAGACGTTTTTCTTGACGTTTTATATTTCTGGTACTTCAAAACTGAAACAAACATCATGACACTTATTTTTGGAGTTATTATTATTATTATCCACGTTATTTCTTTGTAATGGATCCAGACACTTTTTCGCCCCCCCCCCCCCCCCCCACACACACACATACGCAGTTTGCCTTCCACTGTGCTTATTTCCCCTTATAATTATTCGGTAACCGTAGACCCTATAACATGGGTTATGTCCCCTTATTATAATATATTGACTGTGGCTTTTATTGTCTCGTTTATGTCCCTTTGAATATACACGCAACCACAAGTGAATTTTGTAGTCATCATAACAAATTGGTTGCTAAGTAAATCACCAGACACTTTTAATAATATTTACAAGTGTTTTAAAAGCAGATAATTTTTTTTCACATATCTCGTTAATCGATTTCTTTATTATGTTTGACTCGGCCTAAAACAACCTTTTCCATTCATTGAGTTAATTCCCTGACAGCAGAGGCGTAGCGAGGGGGGGGGGGGGGGGGCGCCAAATTGAAAGTTTGAGGGGGGGGGGGGGGGGTGGTGCAAATGAAAAGTTCGAGGGGGGGTGCAAATCGAAACTTTGTCCCCGGGCGCCGAGAAGGGTCGCTACGCCTCTGCCTGACAGTCAACACAACAATAAAATACTAGGATGAAGCTAATTGTTTTTGTTTTTGCAGAAAGAGACAAGTCGAACAATACTTTGGATCAGAGCCCCTGCGTCTAGAAGCACAATGCCAGCAAAAGTTATCGCAAAGATGGTCACGCCGAAGTATCCGATTGTTTGAGCCGAGGGGCGTTCGTCGTCAACGCTGATGTACTTCCGTTTCGTCGCGGACACGTCTGTTTTGTCCACGCTTAGTTCCTGTAATTTAGACAACGTTTTTTTTAGTGTGTTGTACCGGGTTTAGTATACACTCGTAAATTAGACCAACCCAATATTTTTGTATGTAGACATTACAAATTGCACTGAGTGTAGGGTTTGTTGTGCTTTGTTGAGTTTAAGAGCGTGGTTATCGGGGATGTTTTCAGATGTTTTTCTTCGACGGAGCTCTTGAAACTTCCGGGGGTGGGGCACTGGTACGTAATTTCTATATAAATAATATTTTATTGTATTTCGTCTGTGGGCCCCTCCCCCCCCCCCCCCCCCACGGAGAGATGCCTGAAAAATCACTGATTAGTATTACCGGTGTTCGATAATATAATACTGTAATGTCAATCTCTCTCTCTCCCCCCCCCCCCCCCCCCCATTCCCCTTCTTCTCGTCGAAAAAGAAAAAAATATACAATTTATATAGAAAACACATACTTTAACCTTCCCCCTGGAAATTTAAGTGCGGCCCCCTCCCAAAAGTTTCAAGTACTGCGCCCAAGAGAAAAAAGCTGAAAGAAATTCTTATGAAAGACTATTGACATATCAGCTCTATAGACAATGAAATAAGATTTACTTAACAGCTCAATAGATGATAAAAGACGATAATGGAAGACCGTAATAGAAGACGATAATTAAATACGGTAATGGAAAATTGGTGATGGAAATCGAAGACTATGGTGGAAGACAACGAAGGAAGATGATGATGAAAGACGATGATGGATGACGATGATGGATGACGATGATGGATGACGATGATGGATGACGACGGTGGATGACGATGATGGAAGACGTTAATAGAGGAAGTGGATAGAAATCGATGGTGGAAGACGATAATGGAAGACGATGGTGAAAGACTATGGTGGAAGACGCTGGTTGAAGAAGATAATGGAAGACGACGATGGATGACGAAGATGTTAATAGAAGACTTACTTTTTGAATGGACGAGGTTAGCTGCTCCACCTTACTCGAAGCCAGGGGCGTGGACAAGACGTTGGCTGGGCAGCTGCACCCACACTCCAGGCCGGTGGAGGGCAGGGGACTCGACGTCTTGGTGGTGGTGCCAGTTGTGGTAGTGGTGATGCTGCTGGTTATATGTGCACTGCTAGTGCTGATAGACGTCGGGGAGCTGGTGGCGCTGATGGTGGTTTGGGTATTGGTGGCGCTGATGGTGGTTTGGGTATTGGTGGCGCTGATGGTGGTTTGGGTATTGGTGGCGCTGATGGTGGTTTGGGTATTGGTGGCGCTGATGGTGGTTTGGGTATTGGTGGCGCTGATGGTGGCGCCGAGAGTCGTTTGGGTATTGGTGGCGCTGATGGTGGCGCCGAGAGTCGTTTGGGTATTGGTGGCGCTATTGATAGTTTGGGTACCAGTGGCGCTTGAGGTGGCGCTGATGGTGGTTTGGGTATTGGTGGCGCTAATGGTAGCGCTGAGAGTATTTTGGGCACCAGTGGCGCTGTTGGTCGTCAGGGACCCAGTGGCGCTGTTGGTCGTCAGGGACCCAGTGGCGCTGTTGGTCGTCAGGGACCCAGTGGCGCTGTTGGTCGTCAGGGAACTGGTGGCGCTGCTAACCGGCTGTGTGCTGCTGATTGTCTGGAAGAGGGCGCTACCAGTCATGGACGACGCGATAGATGTCGCAGGCTGGCTAGAGAAGCCCGAAGACCAGGGCTGGGATGGTAAGACTGGGTCAGAAGGAATCGGGTGCGAGGACCACGGCGTGTGTAACACAGAAGAAACTGTTGTCGCATCTAAGACAGACAGAGAGGTAAACACTGAAGGAGAAGCATACAACGTTTGAGGTGCAGCTCGACTGAGAGATGACAACGAACTCGTTTGTTTCAGTGAAGATGCCCCAAATGAAAAGGAACCGGAAATAGAAAAAGGGTCTTTAGAATGAGACTGTGAAATTATAGGAGAGCTGGAAACGCCATCGTTTAGCGAATAAGTGCTAAAAAAGCTTCCGGTAAGATGGCTGCTGGGCGGATCAATCGTTGACATCGGTATCGACATCGTCAGAGAGGTAGGCGCTATTGAACTCGATTCCCACATTGATGAGGACGGCATCGATACGGACTCACTAATCAATGAGGAGCTTTCTGGAAAAAAATATATTGGGCGATCGTTTAAATGCGAGAGAAAACTTCATTGAAGAATTTCAATAGTCAAATCAAAATGATATAGGGCGACAGTCTAGGTTATTGGTTTATTGAACGTGAGTAGCGATCGTGTTATGGCGGGTCATGTTGACGCATGATTGGTGCCCTAAAAACAGATGGACTAAAGCGAAAAGGGTTTAAAATCCTAGTACTTAGGCCTATTAAAACGTAACCGTGACGTAATCGTATTTTTTTTTTGCTTAATAATCATTTTAGAATTTTATTGTAAACTGTATGAAAGCATTGAGTGTGCGTTAATCCTCCGAAAAAAAGGTAAAACACCTTTCGACGACCGCCCCGATTAATGTAGGCGTCAAATGGAGCCCGGGGGTGCTCAGGGTCTCCCTAACGCAGGGGCGCAGGCGGATAAACCTGGTATAGTTTGATCATAAGAATGAACCCTGAGCATAACAAAATAGATTCAATTTAAAAATTTCTGTAATGTAACAAATCAAATTTTAAAATATTTTTCAAAAAAATAATTTAAGGTAGGCCTATCAGGCGGAGCAAAAATATTTGGATTGTAATAGAATAAATTTAACCGGACCCAGCTATTGGATACTTGCCCTACTTGACAAAGATTAGGTTAATCCTCTCTACTTTTTGTAGAGCTTTAAACCTCCACCATAACGTTCCATTTTGTCCGGTCCCCGGCTGTTGATTTTTCAGCCTCAACCATATTAGTTATTAGCGGAACATAATCGTTAAGATTAAAATACATCCTAACAAGTGGGATCCGCTAAACAGATCACCGCACTACATGAGCTTAAAAAGATCGCTCAGTTCCTTACACGAGATTTAGTTTTTACCATAGCGATTTCCGAACACTTGAGGCAAAATACACTTACTCATTCATGCGATGGACTCGAGATAGTTTAAAGATACATTATCAAAGCCCAACTCATTTGTTACCGAAGTTTTTGTGGCCAACACAAGAAGAGCAACTCTATTAAGAAACGGATTGTTAGCCCTGTTTCTTCCGCTCATTTTTCTCTAGTGATGGCGAGGTGCTCTGGAGGGGGCATACATTTTTTTGGTAGGGAGTTGGGGTGTGTGTTAGCAATGGTTAAGAATATATTTCTGTATGAAATATATGAAATATATTTTTTGTTTCCTCGGGGGGGGGGGGGGGAGTATTGTCGTCCCCCGCCCCCCTCCTCCTTCGGGGAGATGGCTGAAAGAAACGCTGATTGTTGGCAACAAGACCTTGACGAAGAAACTTGAAACAAGAGAATCGGATTAGTTAAACCTCGATGATATGGAGCCCAACACATCCTTAGGCATCATGTTAGGCTTAGACCGAAACGGTCGTCAACCTTTTGTAATCACCACTTGATCATCTAAAACAACAATACTTGATAATTATGGGAAAAGGTCGAATCAGAAGAGTAGCGTGCTGTACACAAAAGAAACCGAGCATGCGCAAACTAGACGGAAATTACTCAGATGAGATAGAAGGGAGACAAGCACGGTTGAAACATCTGACCGTATTTGATTACATTTAGTCATTGAGGGTAGGCCCTAAGCTAAGAACAGAATAACATTTTTTACATTCTCAAATTTGTCTAAATACATGGATAAAAATAATTACCTTCTCAAGTACTTTCAGAAAATAGTACAATAAAAGAAAAAAAAAATTCATCTGGATAAGACTTTTTTAAAAAATAAAAAAATTACATTTTGCGCGACAGTATATAGATTTCTAGTACAATATCTATACAAAATAGAATTAATGAGGTATCAGCCTTTCTAAGGACCGCATATGACACGATTGAACGAATGAATAAACGTACCACAACAAAGACGTGGCAAAAGTGGCCACGAACTGTTTCCTTTTACTTTTCTTCAAAGAAGAAAGTGTCAAATATGGCCTTGAACAATTATTACACTTTTTTTCCTCACTGCAGTGTTGCATGTCTATTCATGACAAAGATCTAGAATCTAGTAAGTAGAACACCGCTTGCCTACTTCGCTAAGTTAAGGGGAAATAGTCTCCTTTAAAAAAAAAAAACACCCTTCTCCCATTTACAAATTCACTACTAAGTCTACCATGAATCATGACCCTTCTCCGTTTTTCGCTTTCTACGCTTTTATTTACATATCGTTAATATTAAAATTGATTTCTCACGTGGTACATATTTTAGCAAAATCCCAACAAAATGTACCAACATTTAACACTATCATAGTAAAAATTAATTTTTTGTATTTCGTTTTTTAAGTGCCTTCATTTAAATGCCCTGATCCACAAATCATTGTTTACCTTTTTTGTTCTTGCAATAAACATTTTTGTAATATTTCAATTATGTAACAGACTAACGCGCGCACACACATATTATATTGATGTACTTGTTTATATTTGAAAATAAAAGTATTAAAAAAAAATTCGACTGCAAAGCTATTGAAAAATTATCATTGATCTTTAATCATTCAAGAAAACTTAATTAAAATTTACCACAAAATAATCAATAGTTCGTAAAGTAGTTCCAAATGGCACATAAAACCAGTTTTTAAAAAAGAAAATTCTTCAAGAGAGCAGACTGAAGCAAATATTGAAGCTTTTAAAGTTTATTTATAAAATTTCAGTTTTTAAGACTGATAATTAACTTATACCATAATCAAGATTCTTTAAAGCGTAAAAAAACAAACTAATTTGCAGAACCACGTAATAAACATGCACAAACGTCATTTTTATAAAGTAATTGGTCTCTAATCGCCGTGGAGGGGGGAGTGGGTGGGGGGGCAGGCTTCGTTCTTAATTTTAGTCTACGTGTCAACTGGTTATGCACCATTGAGGCCTGCTTTCTTTTTGAAGAGTGGCTGTCCCCAGCTAACGAGCCTCACCTGGAAGCCCGGGGATTTGAACTCGAGACTTTTCGGTTTATCAACCATGAGCTTTACCGACTCGACCATGCCGACCCCTATCCTTGAGCACTTGATAGCTGCTGGCTTATATCTAAATGTTAGTTAGGCTTAAGTGTAATTTGGTGAAGTGTACTTCTTAGGTAATTTGTAGTTTGGTTATGGATATTTGAGTAATATGTAGTAAGGTTACGAGTAATTCGGCAATGTGTAATTTGGTAATGTATAATTTGAGAACTATCAGCAATTTGAGAAGCCCAATGCTTTTCCGCTTGAAATATGTTAAACAATAGCGGAACTCATATTAGAATATAACAGGTTCCTGCGATCTGTTCGTATGGCGAGACGTTCGACCAGTGAATCACTTCGACGTACATTTGATCAACAAAGGGAAATGCACTTTTTTACTGGCTAGTGGCGATGACGTGTGTTTCAGTGAAGGGACGCGAAATGAAAATAAAGGGAGTTGTCGTCCATGAAATTTAGCGCCACCTAACAACTAGAACAAGTTTAACTTGCACTGAACAGCCCCAAAATAGGGTACCAATCGTTCTTGTTTTTCCCAGGGGAGTTTTTGTTTTCGGTCTCTGGAAAAAAGGGAATGTTCGGAAATCGATGGTAAATATTTCGCACACTCCTGTTTGGATGCTCGAATTCCCAAAGCGTAGAAGTAGACCTTTAGATATTTAAATGTAACACTCAAGCGGTATTTCGATTTTGTTTTGGCTAAAACTAAAGAACTCGCTGTCAAAATGCACTGTCCTATAAAGTCGATATTACAGCTATTATAATGTTTTGTAAAGGTAAATCACGCTTTTTTTTCAGACCTGATGAGGTCGTAAAGATCATGGTCGCTAAACCGAATGGGCCCGAGTTCGAACCCCCAGGCAGGTAAGACTCTATTGCAACCCAGCTAGGAGAGGAAACTTCAAAATCAAACAATTGCTGCCTTGCAGAAAGTTCTTGGCTGGACGATGGCTATGGAAGCAAATCTAGAAAGAAATGCAGGGTGAAATCGGAGACAACGAGTCATTGGGCTCATAACATGTTGATACGTAATACTTAATTGTGTTGGAGGAAACCCCGTCCAACATTACGATTAAGAGGAAGTTGCGATGGTTGGGGGACACATTGCGAAAGGTTCATTCAAATGTGATACGCCAGGCGCTTGAGTGGAGTCCAGGGGGAAGGCAAAAGACAAACCTGG